GCCCAGCTGTTTTTTTTTTGTTGCAGCTGTCATTGTTGTTTAGCTAGGCCAAACCAGGTTCGAACCTGCCAGCCTCGGTGCATGTGGCCCTTTCTGCCTTACCCTTGTCACTAAGCCCAACTCCAGAAGCGTGGGAGAGATGGGGTGTGGAAGGCACATACTCACTTTTCTGTCTTTCTCCCTTTCCCCCCAAATCTTTCCCCTTTTCTTTCTTGGCATATTGGAGATATCCTAGAATCTTCAAATGAACATCAAAAACACAAATGGTCTTTCTGTGTTCATAACAACATCGACAGGCCCTGAATATTGGGTTCCAAGCTGGCGGTTTTCTGGTTTTTGTGACTAATTCTCCTTTTATGGTCTTCTAAAATCCTCCCTGTCCCTATCCTCAGAGGAAAGAGCAGTTGTTAGCAAGGGGGAATTTGTCCCCCACCCCCAGGATACCATTCCACTACCTGTCAGTTTAAATATACAGCCCAGTCTCAAAGTGCTATTTTCTTAAAATCATGCTCATTACACCACAATTGTGTGAATGAGAGAACAGAGGAAATATGAGTGACAATCAGTGCTCTGTGCGTAGGATGAACTCTCTGGGTACTGGCACTGCCGCATGAGAATCAGGCTGACTTCCTTGAGACCCTGCCTGGCCCCTGGCCCCTACCCCATCATCACTGGTGTGTGCCTGAAGAATGGACTGATTAGGAAGGAGTTGGTTGCAAGTAACAAAAGCCACATAACAGTAGCTTAAAAACATAAGGCTGTTTTCCTCACTTAACCAGAAGTCTGGAAGTAGGTGTCTGCTGGCGTTTGGTCAGCAGCTGGATGTCAGAGCTGGCAATTTTATATATTTTTTTGCTGCTTCATTGAATATGTTGCCTCCTGGATACAAGATGGCTACCACCAGTCCCCTAACCATGTTTGTTATGGACAAGAGGAAGGGTGAGGCCAGTTGAGAAGGAGGAAGGGGAAAGCCTACATGCTCTTTTGAAATAAAGAAAGCAAAGGCTTTCCCAGTAGCCCCCACACACTCCTGCTTGTTTCTTACTGAGCAGAATCCAGTCATGTCAGCCTAGGAAGGTTGGCAGAGTGAGGTGTGGGTAGGGTGGAGATGGGCCTGCCTCCTAAAACCAAACTGGGATTCAGCAAGGAAGAAGGAATATTTATTTATTTTTGAGAAAGAGTCTTACTCTGTTGCCTGGGCTAGAGTGCCATGGCATCAGCCTGGCTCACAGCAATCTGACTACTGGGTTCTACTTATCAGTTAACTGTTTTTCCAGACTCTAATTTATTTCCACCCCAGTGGATCCAACTGATGGCTTCTGGATTTATATTCCCAAAGGATCATTCCCAGTGATCCTCCTTCCTCAGCCCCTGGAGGAGCTGAAACTACAGGCACCTGCCACAATGTCCAGCTAGTTTTTTCTGTTTTTAGTAGAGACAGAGTCTCACTCTTGCTTAGGCTGGTTTTGAACTCCCGAGGTCAAGCAATCCTCCTGCCTTGTCCTCCCAGAGTGCTGGGATTACAGGTGTGAACCACTGTGCCTGACCAGGAGTAACTCTTTTTGACTAGGCAAAAGTTGGTAGCTATCACATCAAATACAAACTATTTAAACTGGAAGGTTAGATTGTCCCTAAGTTATTATTGAGAGATATTCTAGTTGGGGTCTCTTAGTACCCAGGAAACCACTGGGGCCTAAAAGGCAGAGCCTGGACTGACAGGGCAGCACCTATCTGTCAGCAGTGGTGCTATTCAGCCGGCTCCGGGGAATTCTGGATGTGAGTCAAGTGGATTGGTAGCAACACTGGCTACCCTGAAGCACC